TCCATAGTTCAAGAGATTGCAATGTAACTATCCTATACCATTCCTCACCTAACATAAAACACTATGGGTTAACTGGATTTAGGAGTATATACAGATTTAGATAAATATAAAGTGTTTCAAGTCATAGGGGATGATTTTGAACCACTGGGGATGATTTTGAACCACTGAAGAGTAGACATTGACCAGGCAGGGAATCCTAGTAACCAAATTTTTTTCCATGGCAAAATTGCATTTAACTGTGCTCAAATACAGCTCAAATGCAATTGAAGATAATCCTGACTTTTATGTATTTCTACCTGTATGATAAAAGTGTGTTGGCTTAGGATTTAATAGTCTGGAGATGACTGGAGACTGAAAGAATATTAGTATGAAAAAGTGAATAACACTACTGACAAAGGTTTCAAAAATTTCATCTGTCATATAAAGCAAATTACTCCAGGTTATTTTTCCTAGATTTTGATGTAGGAGTCTTTATCATAAAACAAAACTTAGAGCTGATTTCCATTACTCCTAGTGGAATAGGTTAAAATGCAATTGGTATCTTCCTGAAAATGTTTTACTATTTCTACCACTGTGAAAGCAAGCACATAAAAGGAGGCATCCCACTTCTCTAAATATGCTCTCTAAATGTTAAAGGGTTAAAGCAATTTCCAGAGGTCTCTCTCTAGAAAAATCCCACCACTGATATTTAATTGAACTGCCTTTGCTCTGAGGCATGCAGTAAAATCCAGTGGAATCAAATATAAATACATCATTGCCCTTTATGTAAAGAAAGTCAGCTTAATTTGCGTTTTTTCACCACTATTACACAAGCCTGGCATGCCCAGTTGGTGTAAGTAAAATTTCATTGAAACTAGTGGAAATATTCTGATTTACAACAATCCCACTTATTTTAGTATGAAATTATATTAGACCATATTCTCACAGAAAGTCTGTGAGCCTGATTTTTGACTGCAGTGTTTTCATAGAGATCTCTGAAGAGAAGATCAGTTACAATATAAATATATTAGAAACATTTTCACACACTTTGACCAAGTAGAAGTCATTGTATGGAGTGAAATGTACTGAAAGTCTGGCCCAACCTCCTGTCCACACATAGAAGTTTAAAAAACATGGTATATTCAGAGGGAAAAAAATACCCTTCTTTAATTGAAGAAAAAAATATTGTTCTGTACAAGAAAATGTAAGCCAAGCACTGCCATTCTTTTTTAGACATTAAAATAAAATTTAAATTTAGGACCAGATTCTGGAAAACCATACTAAAGTAAGTCAGCACCCATGCAAAGGTCCAGCCCATAGGAACAACTTTATTCACTTGAAGACTGTATTGCATAGCCAGATAGGTACTTCTTTTTACATCTGTAATGGTATCTTATGATCTAACAGTTTTAGATGGCGATTCATTCAATTAATTTTTCTCTCTTCTTTGTTGTTACTACTTGACTTTTGGTGTTCAGTTTAACTAGGACTATTGCAGCTTTCTCTGTTCCTGTACATCTGATTGTTCATATCAATTACGTATGTCCCCAAAATAGCATCTTATTTTACTGCTCTTCATTCATTCAGATGAAAAACATTCAGTCAGTATAGCAGTCTCACTGAAGTTGACAGGACCATGCATAAAGATGAATAATATTAATTTCTATTGGTCTTAACATGGTAACAGAATTTGTGTAAGCCATCTGCAAACTGATATCATTCAGACATGGAAGCTTTTACACTTAGTCTCATCCTGCTTTGCATAAATATAAATAGCAAAACAAAAAGCAAATCACCTACAGTTAGGTTTACTACATGCTGCATCTCTTAAAAGCATTTAAAAGACATCGTAAGCACATCTTTCAAGCTTATTGCACCCCTTGTACCTTTCAACTATTGATGCCACTCTCCACCAACACTTTTGTACTGTACTAAACCTCCCAGAACAAAGAGAAACCAGTTATAAGGTCCTATTCTAACAGCAATCAGCTAATAGGTACAGTACATACAAGAACATTGCTCATTAACTATAGCTAGTGCTTTACAAAAAGGATTAAAATTTCTGTAGTCAGACTAAGAACAAAATAGTTGTTTATGAAAATAAATATACATGTATATATATATATATACACACACACTCTTGGCTGCAAGAGTCATAAAACCTTTTGATAAACTATAAAAAAAAAAAAAAATTACTTGAAAGAGCTTTATAAAATCCCCAGTCACAAGATTAGCAAGACTACCGCATTAATTTTTGAAGTTGCAGAAACTTCAGTAAAGTACAACAATTTTAAACTAACTTACAGAGTGGCATTTGAGTGTGGCACCCTTTTTGAAGCATGTCAGCTGAAGTTGGGCTACGTATCCCTCAGAGACAGCTGCATGATGGTGACACCCCTTCAAATACCACTTGTCATTTCTGGAAGTAATTCAGTAGCGTTCAATCCCCATTCACAATAAAGATCATACTCTCATGTTATCATTTGTTTTGTCAGTCATTCAAGTGAAGCTACGATGTTGAAGTACACAGCAGGCACACAGTGTGGAACATTTAAAGTGACTGGTAATGATACTGCTAAATATTTACAATTTAAAAAACACAAAACTATCTTCTGGAATATTTCCCAGGCTAAATAAGTGTCTTTGCCAATGCACCTGCAGCTTTTTTTAACTAATTAAGAAACTTGAGCAAACACACTCAAAAAGCCTCGAAAAACAAATGTAGACTCCATTACATAAAAAGAAAAATATTACCCACTCTCAACAACTGATGCATGTATAATTGCAATGCTTTTGTGTTTACTTCCCTTTATAACGATTCAATTATTTACAACAGATTCTTTTGAAAGGAATTTTGAACAAAGAACTAATTAATTCTAAAATTAAGGGACAGAATAAATTTAATCAATAGAAACTACTAATTACAGAATCTATACCTTGGATTATTTTCAAAAAGTTTGCCTCCTGATACTAAAGAAATAAGACCAAGTTGTGATCTATAAATTCATTAAGATGTTAGCATTGCAATAAGGTCTCCAAAAGGGAAACCTTAATCACAGGTTTCACACAAACATAAATGTATGTCACTGCATAACTGGGAACTTGAATAAGATCTAGAAGTTTGTCTTTATAAAGAATTGTGAAGTCATTTTATTTCAAACCATTTTTGTATTTTTGCTTTGTAGTTTTGTAAATTAAAAAATTTAATTAAAGCATATACGAAAATCTCCTAATGAGAGCCTGAGACAATCAGAAGCAGTCTTAAATTTTAGGATTATATTACACACAAAGATTTGAGAGCTCTATCCAAGGCACCTTTCTGAAATATACAGAATTTGAGGTATCACTTTCAGAAAAAATATGCTATTATTTGTGTTATGACTACAAATTAAAGTTTCCGCTATTCAAATTCATGCAGGATACTTTCCATACCCTAGTATTTTAGGTCCCCATCCTGCAAACAATCAAACATATATTTAAATTCATGCATGCAAATAATCCCACTAAAGACCATAATACTGAGGATCAGCGCATCATCTGTAAAGTGCATCATCGACTGCATAGCTCATTTAACCAACATGGATCTGAAAGACAATTTTAAGATTCTGTTTCAGTGTTGTTTCAACTAGCTCAGTTCCTATTTCAAATATGTAACTCAAATCCAAACGTTTCAGGAAGGCCCAGTTCCATAAAACTGTTTACGCAACCGCTTTTCATCTGCAGAAATTTTCATAAAAAGCAAGAAGTTGCAGAAGGCTGCTGAAGAAATCTATTTGAAAACATGAAAGACAAAAAATATTTACACATTATGGTATTTCTCCAACAATAATATAAATAATTAGGTTGGCAACAACTCATTTCCTTATATTCAGGACTATCTGTAAAATACCCCACTGGTGTTCCAAGTAGAAATGCAAAAACAGGCACTGGGCATAACCAATTCATTTGACTGCTACAAGCTAAACATTGCACTTTCCCTTCCCTAAAATACACTTAAAAGATGAATCAAAGATTCAGGAAAGTGAAATTTCCCCTCCAACTAAAAAGGGCCTAATCACTTTGGATATTTTACTGTGAAAAGCCCGTAGGCTGAAAAAGTCTTTCTTCCTTGACAAATCTCTTTGTAAGCAGCCTAATAAAAATGTAAGAGAATTCCTAGTTTCCTCAACCTTGCTCACATTTGGTTTTCATACGCCTGAATATGTGCTTGCAACAAAAGGCTTGCAATTTCTCCCAAGTATGGGGAAGATTAAGTTCAGGATGCAGTTTCAAATGGCCACTAAAAAAAATATATTTTTTTTAATTACTACAGTCTAAATGTTTTTTTTTTAGTCTAAGTCACAACAATGCAGGGAGAAAGTTCCAAATTGTTTTAGTAATTGACCAATGTTTGTAAACATAAGTAAACCTTTTCAACAGCATTGGTCATTCCCACTTCAGAAAAGCTTTAGTTTGTCTTGAATGTTACAATGTCACTTGTTATGTTACTACCTAACCTTAGCAGACTGGGTCACAGTCTTACAGAACCATTCGCACTCAATGACCTCCCTGAGAGCAGTTTCAGACAATTATAATGCTACAAATGACCTCTGAGTACAGAATTCTAGAGAATACATATAGAATTATACAGATTACAATAAATTCAGCACTGAGACCAAGTTTTATAACATACAGGATGGCAAAACAGACCACAAGAAACTATACACAGCATCAAGCATTATCCACTTTGTTTGGAGACCAGTAAGTTTTCAGTTGTCCTTAGGTATTTCCAAAAGGCTGCGTTGACAGAGTAGACAGAAATAAAAGCATTTCCTTTCAGCTTTTTAATGATACTTTGTATCTCAAAATGCTGGTAACTCAATTTTTATTATAAAATTCCCTGCTTACAATTTCGTTTCTAATTAATAATCACTACAACACAACAATGGCTGCAGTGGCTACATCTTAACAGCTGATGGCACCAATCACCTCAAGAAATTACCTAGCTAAATGTTAGGTTACATTCTAATACCGTGAATGTTATAGAATAATTTGTTGGGAAAGCAAAATGCAAATGTCTAAACAAGAAAAAAAAATAAAAAAAAATTTATCTTCAGAAAAGTACAGCATCTGTCCTAAATATGACACTCATCATCAAAACCCTATCCTGTTTAGAATGTGTGTATGTGTGTAAACTCAGTGTGTACACAGATGTATATTTTTCCATTTTACCACACCACAAACAAGAATTATATCGGACTTAAAGATATAACACTTCAAATTCAGATAGGAAAATGTATAGATATAGCAAGACCTGAACATAAACATCAGGGTGATTTTCTGGTGTGCTAAGAACTGCAAGCTCTCATTGACGTGCGGAAATCATTTGGTTATAAAGTTTCTAAGCAGGTATACAAGTGACTTTATAAAAATGTTATTTTGTATTTTTATATTAATTCTTCCTGGTGTAACATGTAACTAGATTAAAACAAAATATGCACGTTTAGAGACACAACCATAAAATATTAATCCTCCCTGAGGAGGCTATATTTAATAAACAGCTACTAAAAGCTAACTTCACAGTGAAGCTAAGGAGATAGACAAAATAAGTGGGAATAAAATCGTCTAGGGGGAACTTGGAAGATGTTTACATGGCTCTAGGGTGGGAAGAGATGAAAGAAACTAAGATATTTACTCCTTTGTAGAACAGTTGGTCAGTATTGTCAACTCCAGGCATTCAAAAATCTAATGAAGTCCCAGAGCTACCTTTCAAGGGCTAATCTTATCTTTCACGTCTCGTTTTAAGACTTTTTTTTTTTTTTTTTTTTTTTTTGTAAATAAAAGCGTATCCTCTTTGTTTTCCAAGTTATTAGAGCTAAGGATTTGAGAATGGGGATTACCCTTCTACCCCTGCGACGGTGAGGAATAAAACTTGCCTTTCTTTTTAAATGAAATCCGAGACGACGATACCAGAACATGGCTGTGCCAACAGTATCGTAAAAGCAAACTCCTGGGCTGTGAAATCGTGAAAGAGGAAGGTTTCTTTCCTAGGCGGGAGCTTCTCCCCGGCCGCGGCGGGGGCGACGCGCTGTGGGCAGCCGCCGGCCGCCTCGCAAGGCGCCGGGCACCCGCCCGTTCCGCAGCAGGAGCCGCGGGGGGAAAGAAAGAAAGAGGCAGCAGGAAATGCGGCGGCTAAGCCCCCAGCACTGCGCCGGGCTCCACCACACGCTGCTCGCCCCGTGGAAAGGCGGGACGGCGCCCGGCCGAGGGAGGGTCGCTGCCACCGCCCTCCCCAAAGATGGCGCCGCGGCGGCAGGGCACTTCCCCCCGCTCCCGGCGTGGGGTGGCGGCGGCACCGCTGCTGGTGGTGCCGTCGCGGGCCGATGACGTCGTCAGGCCGTGCGGAGGGTGCCCGGGGATTCCCCGTGTTGTTGTCCCGGGGCCCGGCGGGATGGGCGGCCGAAGCGCGGGGGGGCGCGGCCGGCGCTGATGGCGGCTCGTTGGGCAGCCCGCGGCTCCGAGCCGGGGCCGGCGGTGGACGAGTTCACCGTCCCTGCGGAGAAGAGCCGCCTCCTGGATGGCAGCCGGGGCCGCATCGAGGGCTTGTTCGAGGTGCGGCTGGCCGTGCTGGGGGCGCAGGGGGATTGGAGGCCCGTCCTCCCGCCGCCGGGACCGCCGCCCGCTGCCGCCCGCATCTGGGTGCAGCTGGCGGGCGGCGGGAAGGCCGTGCGCAGCGCCAAGGTACGGGGAGGGGAGAGGGGGGGGGGGTCGGCCGCCGAGGCCTCGGTCACCGGGAGGGAGAGCGGGGTCGCCGTGTTTGCTCAGGGGAAGGCCCTGCTCGGCCGGGGCACCGCTCGGGGCCGCTGCGGGCGGGTGGGAGGAGGAAAAGGGTGGGGTAGAAGCCCGCGCTGCACGGGGAAACAGAAACGGTCCTGCCTTGGCAAATAGGTGTGTTCCAGGTGCCAGGGTGTCTCCGCAGGTGTTGACATAAGCGTAGGGAACAAAGAGGAACAATTCGGCTGAGAAGAGCAAAGTTCGCGGACGCTGCAGAGTTCGCTGCGGTCACCGTGTTGTGAAATATTCCTGCGGGCTGCCCGAACCTGCGTGCGTGGCCTTAACACCTGGCGGAATGGGCCACGCTTTATTTTAAAGCGCCACGAAAATATGTCGCGCTCCTTTTGCTTCCCGAAAGCGAGAAATTCCTCGGAGTTGATTGGATGTTGGCGTGTTTCACAGTTGCTTTGCAGACTTTACTTATTCTGGGGCATTTAGGAGCTCATTAGCGAAGCTCTCCCTCATAGTTTAACAGAGCTAATATTTCCTTGGTGTAAAAACTGGTAGATCGAGACTGCTTCACCAGTCTGTTTGCTGGAGCGAATAACTTTCTTTTTAACTAAACACGTTAAAAGAGAGAGCTGTCTGGGCTATTTGTGTCTCTGACTGTGACACTATTTGCTGTGAAGTATCTTCACATAATTATTTTGCTAAATGTTTTGTACACCTAACCTTTGTGGGGGCTCAGCTGTAATGATGAAATTAATATTATGCATAGTGGACCTGGCAGCTGTAGCTGCTTGAATCATGTGATGAGAATGGTAGGGTGAGCACTAGCTGGGCTGAAAGTAGCTTTCAAAAATCAAGATCTCGATATATAGGCGTTTGTGTCTGTTTAAATACACTTAGTGGGGATCCGTCTCATGTTTTTTGTGCCTTAATTCACAGACCAGCCCACTTTCAGAGACTTGTTTCCTTAACTGTGTAATGCATCTGGAAAATACTGTGAACGTTGAGGGGTTTGAATTATTTGACTCTGAAATTGACTCTAAACCAATTTGCTTGTACATTTGGGCTGAAAGACTCCAGAAACTGTTACAGGTGGCATAAACAACTATTGTTATTCTCCAGGCAGCAGCAGTACAACTTTTTTTTTTTTTTTTCCCATAAAATTAAAGCCTGAAACAAATGGCACAAGATTTCCATTTTCTAATTGCTGCTTTTCCTAACGACATACAAAATGTTTCCTACTCCAGATACTTTAAAGGGCATGGGAGATTTGACTTCCCTTACATGTAGAGCAGTTTTCAGACCCTATCTAGAGGGATAATTGACTAGAAAGTATGAACAATAGCACATCTTTATTGTTTCTCTTTAAAAGGTTTGGCGATAGCAGTTTGTGTTTTAATTCATCAGTCACATGCAATTTATTCATTCTTCAGTGCTGCTTAGTAAATGTGAGGGGGAAAAAAAAAGTTCCCAGATTTTGAATATCCTATTTTCTAATTATGTTATTGTCCTGTTGCTCTGCAAAAGTAGTCATATGATGACTAAGGCTTGGAAAGTAATCCTGTGGATTTTTGTTGCAGAAGCAGTTTATGCTAATATGCTCTTGAAGCAGCCTGCCTTGATACCTGTGGTGATCTAATTCAAGAGATGATAGGAAGTGGTGTTACGTTATTCATTACCTTGTATGGGTTTTCATTTCCATTTAAAAGAGAAGTTTAATTTCTGAAAATAAAGATAGATAAAAAGAATTGGTATACTTGGGAGTGGGCAAATACAGTGACTGCAGCTTAGAAACTGGTTTTACTGCATTACAGAATTTTAAGCACAAAAAGAGACAGTTTGGGAAAAATAATGCTACCTAAAAGAAGAAACAGTATACTGTATTGGCAGGGTTCTGAACTCTGACACATTTAAAACAAGGTAGCGTAGCAAATTGACCTATGGTAACTTCTAGGTGGCAGAAATAGCAGGGGGAAATTTTTTTTTTTTTTTTTGGTAATCTGTTAAAAACCTGAACTTCTAGAACACAGAATTGTCCGGGGCCTGGAGTTTTCTGTCACTTGTCAGTATCATCTGCTTTTTTAAAATATTGAGTTTCAAAGTCTCATGTGGAAAGCTGGCTTATTGTTGAGCTTTTTGAGTGTGATTTTCTTTGGTGTTATATACCTATTGTAAGCAGGTGCTCTGACAGTTGTAGTTTTAAAATAAAAGTGGTTTATTTGGTTAATAAGGGCATCTATCAGAGCCCAGATAGTGGTTTTGTCATTTGTTTGGTTTTAGCTTTTTTTTTTATATCTATAAGCTATCTTTTAATGAATACTGATGTGTGGCTACTAGTTATCTTGTGTCATGCCACAGATTCAATGTCCTTCATTCATGAGTAGTAAGTATAGAATAAGTAACATATAATAATAACTGTAAAATAAAGAATAGCTGCTGCTGTGATGAACCTTTGGAACTTTTCTTTAGAAACTGTTTTCCCAAGTTCAGTTCTGTGGACTAGATTCTCTAGTGCAAGGCATTTGTTCACGAAGCATGTGTTCTCTTTGACCAAGGAATGGGGATGGGAAAATATCTCTTTTGACTTGTCTTTTAAACTCTTTGAGCTACAATTTAAATACTGTTACTATCAATTTCAAGTAAATTTATTTATAAACAATAGGATATAAAATAAAGTTAGCTTTCTATGAGAACTATTTAAAAATAATTTCAGATACCTGCATTTTATCTCTTATCCTGTTTACTGGCAACATTTATTTTCTCACATTTCTTATGCAAAGTTGGCTTTATTTCCTAATCTACTTGTCCATTACTAACCTAACCGAAACTAACTTTATATATAAAGCTTTTCACAAATACTCACTCTGCTTTTTCTCCTTCCAGGAGTATATTAAGGGACTATGTGAACCTGAGCTAGAAGAAAAGGAGTACTACCCAAAGGACATGCACTGCATCTTTGTTGGTGCACAGAGCCTGTTTCTCAACAGTCTTATTCAAGATACCTGTGCCGATATAACAGTGTTAGAAATAGGACTGCTCAGTATTAAAGGGGGTGCAGAAGCTGTTGTTATGGCTCAAAGTCATGTTCAGCAGTTTGTGAAGCTTTTTGAGAATAATGAAAGCTTATTAAATGATAATGAATCGGAGATTAAAAAGCAATTCAGACAATTTGTGGAAGCACATGCAGATAAGTATACAATGGATTTACTGATTTTGCCTAGCTCACTAAAAAGAGAACTCTTAGCTCTCACACAAACAGAGTGTTGTGAAGTGGAGAGCAACATCATAGATCTTACAGGTTCTGAAAGCCCGACAGAGTTTTTACAGAACAAAGACTCCCAAGTAATCATTACAAAGAGAGATGGAAGAGCATGTGGTGAGGAAGCAAGAAACAATGCTGGGACACCTGTAACTGAGCTTACAAAGCAGATGGACACTGTATTTTCTGATGCTCCTGAAACAAGTTTTGTTCCCATAAATGTTGTGCCTCTGTTAGAGGCAGTGGTGTCTAAAGAAAGGCAGTCATGTAAGAGAAGATCCTCTAATGATGAGGAAAGGCTCCCTAAAAAGCAGTTCTCTTTGGAAAATGATCAGCAAGTAAAATCTGCTTCACACAGTAATCCTTCAGACAGCGATGTAGTTATTGATCTGATTTCGGGCAGCTGCAGTGAATCAGATGATCCCAGAGACTGCTTTAAAGAAGGTGATGATATCAGTGAGGAAATGGAATATAAGATTCTTGTGAACTTCTTCAGAACAATGGGATATTCCCAAAATATCGTAGAAAAAGTTATTGGTATCCTAGGACAATCTGTGGAACCATTAACACTGCTAGAAGAAATTGAAAAGGAAAACTTAAAATTTCAAGAAGAACACGAACAGTCATCTAAAAAGCCTGGAACTATCAATCTTCCCTTAGGAAGTAATACAAATAATTCACAAAAGCCAGAAGACAAAGGCATTTCTAGCAATAAAAGTCCTATTAAATCCAGTCATACTTCAAAGGAGACAAACGACCAGTATCACAAAAACAGAGATTCACTAAGCATGCAAGTTGATCCACAAGATAAAATGCATATATCGGTATGCAGACCTGCTTCTCCTTCCAGTAAAAATTCAGCTATATGCTATAAACAAAGAGACGTTTATTACCCTGGTAAGAATCACAGTACAAGGTCAAGTGATACAGAAACTGATGGCATTGTAACTTTCGGCACTGTACAAACTGGAGCTCTAAAAGATGTTGATTTTGTAGCCAGAGGGAGCTCAGATGTGCAGCGTATCTCAACTAAGACTAAAACTGCAGTTCAGCAAAAATCTGCAGGGCCCTCAACTGTACAGAATAGTCATCCTGGTTTTGAGGACCAATTGGGACACTGCAGCTCTTCTCAAGTGAAATCTCTCAACCAATGGCTTTCCCAAACCTCAAATTCTGAAAATCCTATCCCAGACCAGGTATTATCTTCACAAATACATCCTTCAAATCCTGATAGAGAGACAGTGGGACCAGACAGACATCATCCTGATCCTTCAGTTACTGGAGTTCAAAGATTTTTGGAATCTCTGAAAAAGCCATACAGACTGGAGTTGAAAAATGAACCTGGGAAACCATATTTAAAACATATCATTATTGATGGAAGCAATGTTGCGATTTCGTAAGTATTATTCTTTTTAGCTATCTCGTAAAAATTCTGTGAACTTTCAAATGAAATAGGGACTAAGAGGTTGCTGTGGCATGTGTGAAGTTTTCGCTAGCTAGCTTTTTGGTGACCCAACGGTCCGTGTATGTGGCAAGGTTTTTCAGCTACTGGTAATGACTGCAGTGGTAAGGTATAATAAGGCTTGATAATGAAAAATTACATGAGATTAACAGTAACCATTTTCATTTCCAGTGCATAGCAATTTTGATAGTTTTTATTCTTCGCTAAGTGACAGCATTCACTTTTATGACTGACATGTTTATAGTTATTCTTCGTTGAGATACTGTACATAGAAGGAAATTCAGAACTTTTTAGCAGGTGTACTGTATGATGTTTGCTTCAGCATACAAATTCAGCTAGAACAGTGTGGTTTGTGGGATATTTTATCATGAAACAATTCTTGTAGAATTTACTTTTGGTTTAAAAAAAATATGTCGTCTGAAGCTGAACAAATGCAGTAACTGGTTATAATAGAATAAGGAAAATATTTGATTTTGACTTAAAAACTAGTTGGTAATTGCAATACTCTGGAAAATATTTTCTGTAAAGCCATTTAAGGTTTAGCTTTCCTGCTCCAGTAGCAGTTTGTGAGTTTGTAAAAATGAGTGGCTCAGATTTATGAAGCCCAAATACTAAAATAATGTGAAGAAAATTTGAACAGAATAGGCAATGAAAACTAAAACTACATATATATTAGATGCAGGTGAGATCCTTTTGATAATAAGACATTTCAAAATGAAAAGTGAATCAGTTCTACAGCTTTTCTTACTAGTCAGTGGTCAAATTTGAAGCCTCATTTGTGCCGTTTCAGAGCAACCTATGTTGAATTCAGTGCTCCAGCTCGATGTAACACTTCAGTCAGGAGTAACTTCAGTGAGCTCTGCTCTGTTGCAAGCAATTTTATGCATGAAACTTAATTTGCGCTGCACGCATCTAACAAAGAAGTTGAGTTACCATCAATTTAAGAGTGAATAGTTTTGGTTTTTTACTTTTGCTCTTAGAGTCTTGTAATTTTAAAGTGGAGGTTCTTATATAGTAGTAACATATTTGTCCTTTAACAACATTACACATTAGTACTTGCATCCTGTTACTAATTGCAAATGCAGGCCTGCAAAAAAAATATTCCATCCCACTCCATAAAACTTGCAGAATAGGGAACTGTGTATATGTGTGCACACACCTCATCTCCTATTCCTCCTGATACCTGAAAGAATGTATGCAAATGATAGTTAACGCTTCTAGGGCTGTTGTATATTTTTAACAGGTTGGCTGATAAGGCACCATGCAAACAGACCCTGTGAAATGGGCACAGTTAATACTGAAAAGATCAAGAAATCCCTTGCATGGACTGATGCAGGGATTTTCCATTATTGTAAATATCTTCTAATTCCTTTTGTTGTTGTTTCTATTGTAGACAACTTTGGAGGGCATTGCCAGTTGCAATTTTCTTCTTTTTAAGTTAGCAAAAATCAGTTAGAACCTATATCTCTTTAAAATTTTGTGCTTCATTTGCTTCATTTTAACATTTGTCTCATCAAAACTATCTTTGAATTGATGCTGTTCTCTAGTCAGGAAGAGACTTATATTTGTTCCTTCTATGCTACGTAATCTCAGCGAGCACGCATGTCGAAAGGTTTTGTCAGTGTTTGCTATGGGGTTTTCTGTAGTTTTGGAACATGAAAGTGAACAATGACAAATGCAGTATTTCTTAATGAGGAATTGGTAGCTTTTAAGAACAAACTGACTGTTCTCCTGCTCCACTGGTCAATGTAACAATAAGAGTAAGCTTACTATGAGAACTTCCTATTTAAGATTTTTTGGGTGCATTCAGTGTTCATCTGCTGAATATGCATAAACCCTTCCAAGTACAGAAACTAGTTTCAATTCTGCAACCATGCTGCTTGAACCAAAATGATGTACTTTAAGCAAAACAATAGTAATTCTGAGAAAGATCATCTGTATCCTTAGAGAAAGTGGGAAAAGCTTAGGCTATTTAAGTATTTCTTAAATACTTAAACTATTTTAAAATACGGATTTAAATTCTGGAGATTGGAAATCCTGAAGAGCCTCATATTGGCTATATTGTCTTGTATTTAGAAGTAACTAATACTTGAATAGGATATTTCCTAAGAACAGGCCAGAGTACTACCAGTGATCCCATAGTTTCTGTAGGATGTTCTTAGGCTGAGAAAAATACATCTGACTTGCTAAGATACTTGTATGGTGTCATCTACTTCCAGCTCTTAAATGAAAGAGTGTTCCCAAAAGAGTGGACTTAAATGATGTTTAGGGGAAGATGATAAACTTTATCAGGAAAAAACAACTATAATGTTACATACCACAAGAAAACAATGTCAAAGTCTGTCCTAAAATGAATTTCATGTTTCAGACAGTTGACAACTGGTACAGTTTCCCAGAAGTAACTATGTAAACACAGTACATGCAGTTGTGTTAGCGGGGAAAAAAAAAATGGATTTGTGCTTTTAGTTTCACAAAGGTATATAGATGCCCTTAGATATTGTTCTTTTGTGGTTATGAAAGATCTACTTTAGCTCCTAAACATTTCACAAAAATTCATGGAATAGCAAAACTTCATCAATTGTTAGGGATGATAAATAGTTCTAACTCCCTTTTCTCTGTAATATATATTAATTTTGCTTGAGAACAGAAATAATAAATTATGGATTTATTTTTGTGAAGTGCTAGTAAAACTGCTAATACTAATTTAGCAAATTGAGGAATCAATCTTCACTTCTTCCCTTCCTGTACAGTCCTAGCCTGATGATTTCTGTTTTGATACCTTTTAGTATTTGCTGATAACTTACGAAAACTACCAGATGATACCTTGAAACTTCTAGAAGTGTAGTTCATTCAGAAATAGTTCTGCTGATGTTTTAAACTTAATTCATATAAAAATGTATCTCGCTCTGTTTTCTTGGCAGCCTTCTTTATTGCACGTGTTCCTGCTAGGTCACTATTTTTCCCCATTCAGAACAAAACATAAGTTTTTAAAGATTATTAGCTTCAAATGCAGTTTAAGGACGTAGTAATATAGAAATGTTTGCAGTTAATCCATAAAGGCTTTGTAGCACAGACAAGGCATCAAAAGTAAATCTAAGTTACTTCTTCTGTTTGTGAGGAGTGTCAGAAGATTTCTTAATGAGTAACTTGTTCTACCAAGTGTTCGTTAATTGAGGAAAGTGATGATGAAGAAGGTTTCCCCAGGTTAAAGATCTCATAGCTTGTCCCTTTTGGCTGGCAGCATTAAAACTTTTCATGTCAATTACTGGAAAATTAATAGATGCAAGTTTTTTTGTCATTGTATAGTATTGCTGACTTTAAAGGGGAAGTCTGACATGATCCATAACTCTTTAACCGCTTTAATTCAAAAGTCTTTGACCGTGAACCCCCAATATATGTATATTTATCAACTATACAGGTGCATTACTTATGTTCTGATACTTCCTTCATGCAGCCCAGTGGATTCTTGCACACCCCACGTTGGAGTAGGGTATAGTAGCTGGCTACCATTGACATACAGTACCCAAATATGGTTATATAACATCTGCTGCTCAGCCAAATGAAAACTCTGCTTCTGAAAAGCAAAGGACAGAGAATTACCTCAAAATAGCAGAACCATTGAGATATTTAAATGGCCTAGCAAATAATCAGTGCATGAAGACCTGTTGGTTGGTTTGTTGTTTTTTTTTTTTAATGTAGGTATTCTGCAGCTTCCTTCTGGGTAAATAAAGCCTCATTATCTTCTTACACCTTAGAAAGTGAAGGTTTTCAATTTTGCTGTTATTTTTTTTCAGTTTTACTTCTCAGTACCTTGAGGTTACAGACATCTGCTTCCATGCCTATGTTGGGTTGTTTGGGTTTTTTTGACCCCTGAGTGTCATGTGTTTTGGGGGGATATTAATACTTTGCCCCTGTGCTTGGAATAAGGCTGAATGGGCTTCCAAATTACTACTTGCTTTGTGTCTTAAATTTGGAAGACCGCAAGAAGCTGAAAGATTTTCCTCTTGACACATGCAGCCTAGTAAAAATGTCATGTTGATATATTAATGCTAGCTGTACCTTCAGTGTGCTTACTGAGTGAGAGAGCCCAGAGTTTACTCTAGCCACTAACAAGTATTTTTAAAAATTGCCTCTGTGTGTGTTGAAAACAGGCCTTTCAGGGCAGACTGAAAAATCCAGACAGTTGTTGGGTAATTTAAAATTTTATTAAAATGTGGACAACATTCAGAATGAAGTAATAATTGGATGGAATTATATCTTGCTGGAACTGTTTGTAAGTAATGATATGTACTTTCCTTAATTTAATTACAAAACCAAAGGGGAAATGTTATACGTCTCAAAGAGCAACCTACTCTTTGCTGCTTTGTGCTGCTTATGATTATCTCTTGTTTAACTTAAGAAATACCTTTGTAGGGTCTTCACAGTTCATTAAAGAACTGGAACAGCCAAAACCAGTATTTACAATGGCAGTTGGGGAACAGATGCAGTCTTTGAGATGGATGTCTTGAAAGGACCACCTTGCTGTGGTAATTTGCTGTCCTTCAGATATTTACCTAGCACAAATAAAGCATTTCATATTTCTGTTTATCTAGCAGTGACATATTTATTCATATTATAGCTCACCTTAATTCTACATGTTATTTGACAAAGTTGAATATATTGCTTTTGTTTGCATGCTTTTTAAGTTGCTGCAGAGCTTGAGTTTGTGATCATACAGGACAAATAAACAGCTGCTGTTCTAGGCTTCAAAATGTTAAAAAAAAAAGAAAAAAAACCACGAACTCTCTGTAGTTCAGCAGGTTTAAAGCTCTAAAACTGGAGAATGGACAAGTAGAGAAAGCATAATTTTCAACATGGACATCGGGACGTCTACATCTCTTGATGTCCAATTGAGAGCCATTAATTCAGTGAAAGATTTTAACAGTTTTCCAGTTTACTGAATAGGATATCTAACTTAAAGTGGGGGGGATGATGACTGAATGTTAAGTTTGAGCTAGAAGGTTTAAGAGGGATAACTCTTCTGTGACAATTGCATTCCTTTATTTGTCTGCTCTTGACATCGAGAACACTTAATTTTATTAGGGCATAGGATTTTTTTTCTCCAGAGACTCTGTTAATAAATCAGACAAAATTGGAAGAGGATATGTGAATGCTACTAAAGGCTGAGTTTCACTGTAAAATACTTCCATGGAGATGTTTTAAAGAACTCTGTTCAGAAAATTTCCTGGTAGATTAAACTAGGTGTTTAAAGATAAGATTCCATTCAAAATTAATAAGGCTTACTACTAGGCTTATTATATACAATTGCACATTAACTAGGAGACTGGTTTAAAATATGAAAACTACGTGGTCGCTTATTGTTATGAGAAGCACTTTGTAGTGACTGAACATCTAATCAAAGAACAGAATATGTACTATGTAAGAAATACCTTGCCTGTTTGCACCCTCAGTTCTGAATCAGTGTGTCTCTTCTAAGTAAGTATATCTTTGTTTTGTCTAAGTGTGGCCTTTAATCCATGAAAATGCAAGGGGGAGAAGTTTGTGAATGAAAACTGGATTTAGCCTTCTGTAAGTTCCTAATAGGTATTTCATAGGAATTTATTCTAGAGGTATTTTTGATCGTCTTCTGTGCTTTATTTTAAGATTATTCTTCCATTATTCTCCTGAAGCTTAGTTCCCAGAATCTGGTTAGACATTTAATTGCTAAAGGAGGACTTCCTGCCATGTGTTGAATGGGCATATAGGATCATTGGGATAATTCTGATTGGGAGGGACCTCTCAAGGTCATCAACTACAATGTCTCTATCACTCATATTAGTCAGTTGCTGATTTTTCTGGAAAGTCACTTAACTGAGTTGCAAAAACAGTTAATGAACATCTTATATTTTTAAAAGGGGGGAGTAGAAAATATTACCACTAAAGTACAGTATTTTGAAAATTTCTCTTTAAAGGAATTCTGTTATTTTGCTTGAAAATGGTAGCTCAGATTGTTGAAATGAAGGGAGGGAAGGCCCTAATATCTTAGATTATCAGAGAACTTCTCAGATGTAATCCTTGGGAACCAGTTGGACCAAATGTGTTCTGTTTTGTAGTGGGACTGTGTTTGGAACTACCACAATATGGGATTATGATCACTTTGATCAGTAGATATCAGAAACCATCACTATTGGCCTCTTTTTAAAGCTAAACCAGTTTCTGATTACTCAAATATTGTTGTGCCCACAAAACTGAAAGGAGCCTGAGCTATAAAGTTGCAAAGTGGTGTTTGTTTTCTTTTTCTGAAGATCTCTCTCCATTTATAAGATTCCTCACATATAACATCCATCTACCTTTTATTTTGATGAGGCTGTACGTTTAACTTTCAGCTTCATGAGGTTTTGTTCCATTTTTGTTATATTCATAGTAGTAAAATTCTAGTGAATTTAATCTCCCTTCTCTTTCTTTTACCCCCAGTCATGGTCTAAGGAAATTCTTCTCCTGTCGAGGAATTGCTATAGCTGTTGACTACTTTTGGAAACGTGGCCACAGAAATATTACCGTATTTGTTCCACAGTGGAGAACAAGACGTGATCCTTACATTACAGGTGAGGGAAATAGTTTCCTAATCTTTTCTTTATTACGCTGCATTATATCTGTTTTTTTCTGTAAAGAATATACAGTGTGAGACACTCTAAAATGGTGTTTAGGCTAACTGATGTGCAGTAAGTGGAGGCCTTTCTGTTTGGTTGGGGCTTTGTTTGCTTTTTAACTTTTAGTTTCAACATCTTCATCCCCAATTTTATAGTATTAGCAATTCTTCAGCTATCAGTCTTCATTTCTGTAGATAAATAGCTACAAAAATAGCCTATCTCAGACCAATTGTTAAATCTGTAAATAGCCTAGAAGAAAGCTTTTGTTTTTAAGAACAGTTGTTTCATGTTTTAACAGAGCAGGATTTCTTAACACAGCTTCAGGATGTTGGAATATTGTCTTTAACCCCTGCAAGGATGGTTTTAGGAGCAAGAATTGCTGCTCATGATGACAGGTATGGAATATACATAGTTTTAAAGTATTTTTAAATGTCTGACTAATGGTTGTAAAAGCTTAATACTTCATGAGCAGTTGTATTACCTAGTTCTTCAACCTGTCAGGACAGAACTATGCATCCTACTTAAGACAGAGCTCTACATCTGTTATGTTGTTTCACTGTCTGAAGAAACATTTCTGTATGTAATTCTCTAATAATATTGTACATACTGTTTTCATAAATTCATGGAAAATAGTGAATTTTCATTGAAATTCTAACAAAAAAAAAAAAGTTAATCAATGGATTAATAGATTAGTCTTCTAGTAATGTTTTTATGCTTTCCTGATCATCAGTTTGTCCCTGAAATGTCTTTTATGTTTGAGGAACACTAGCATAAATCAGCTACAAATCAGGTACTATTTTGTTTCATTTTTTTTCTTGATCCCAGTGAGGCATACAGACACAGATGCATATTTGGACAAGTGTATTTGTGAAAATGTGTAGGCTAATATATTTCCAAGTTAATTTGAGCACCAAAGTTCAGCTTCAAAATGTGAGGATAATCTTTCAGTGAACAAGACAACAGAAAGCTTTAGGGTTTTTTTGTTGAGTGTTGGAGGGAGCGTTTCCTAGTACTTACATTGCTATTGCCAAATTTTCCCAGTCTTGAGACACAGTTAAAAGTGCACGCTTACGTTTTTTTCCACAACCACCTTTCATAATTCTGTATGGATCAGCAGTTTGCAGCATTGAAATTGTATTTTTGTGGCTAGCTACAGCTGACTGGAGTTTGGTTTCTTCCTTCCCACTAATAATAATTCATACTTTATTTTTCTGACTACAAAGTTGTACAGTCTTTACATCATGGACATGCCTATTTTTGTTAGATTGCACAATCATGTACCTGACTGCAGAACTTGATATACAAAAGATGTATAAAGTACAGTGCACTTTATTTACCTTCCTTGTTAAAATATAGCAGCTCTGATCTCTTGAAGAATAATGTTGTAGCAAAAAAAAAAAAAGTACAAGGCAGCCCAGCTGGAGTTGTTTATACATTAATATTTTATAGACACCCAGCATTTCATATAAAATTCTACATAGGTGCAGTATTTACAGTTGAGATTATTGTGGAAATGAGTGTTGCACTAACATATTTGCACTTTTGTCAAAAGTGTACATTTTTATTTAAAGGAATGCCATCCATTGTCTTTTTGCTAAAATAATTTCAAATGGTGAAAAGCTTGTTTTCAGATAGGTTAAAAAAAAAAAAACAACATAGTATTTTCTTAATAAATCAGTAGTTACCTTTTGTCACTATTTATTTAGCAGCATTGTTAAGTGTTGACAGAGCTAACAATTAACATGCATAACACTATCTTGCAGAACACCGACATTAATGATAAGCAGGAAAGTATATGGAAATATTTGCATTGAAATATGTAATAAATACTGTACTCTTTTGTAAAGCAAACAATTTACCTTTACAAATATTTAGAATCTGATAATCCCATGGGTTTTGCTTGTGGGGTTTTTTAAATGGAAAAAAAGTCTCCCATGAAGACTCTGCTGCACCAAAAAAATGCATGCTACCTAAAACATTGTTTAAAGTTATATGGTGGGTCAAAACAGAGTAATTTCCTGGTAATCAAAGTGCTTATTTTCATACAACTTAGACTACTCTTGAATGGTGAAATGTTTAGTTTTCTAGATCTTTGGACAATTTTCAGTGAAGCAGAGTATCTTAATGGTCATTGAAATTATATTTACAGGTTTTTATTGCACCTTGCTGATAAAACTGGAGGTGTTATTGTGACTAACGATAACTTCAGAGAATTTGTGACAGAATCACTTGCCTGGAGAGAAATTATTCAAAAAAGGTAATTACTCCATTTCTGTGAAAGCTTAAAAGGATGTCTGTTCTTACAGTTGCATGCATTCTACCTTCATGTGGGATTTCTTATTTTTAATTGATCTGTCATGCAATTCTGTTAGTCCAACAGAGTACTGTCTTTGTTTCACCACTTTGATTCATGGCCTTATAATCATGTGTTGAGTAGTCTAATGTCCCTATTATTCATATATTCTCTAATGTTCATCAGTTAATTGCTCACACAAGTAGGAGCTTGGTGTAGCAGTCAAGCTATGTCACTTCTGAAGCTCAGTGTTAGATCCTGTTAGAGTATACAGTTTTTTGTCTATTCTCATGGGCTTTCTTGTTTTACATTTCATTTCTTCAAGGAGACATGATAGCTGATGCAGACATACAGTGTCACTTTTAAGGTTTCAGAACCAATCGCTCCTTACTGTAGTAAACAACAAATCGGCACACCTAAACAAAATAATGAACACTTACAACATATCCCTGTAGCCATTTCTCTACAATTGTTGAGTGTCAATTTGGATTTAGATGAGTTCACTTAACTATCAAATATCCCTGCTTTAGCTTGTGGATTCTTTGTGAATTACAGTTTCTCCTGTGCAGCTGGTTACTTTTTTGTTGTTGATTGGTTGGTTTTTTGCTTTGTTTTTTTCCCCTTCCAGTTAAGGTCATACCTTAATAGTAAAATGACCTGATTTCTCTTGGCCAAATTTCCCACTAATCCCTCAGTCTCCCTGACATCTTGTTCTCCCTCAAACAGGGTTTATTACCCAGTGTGCAAAAAGCCAATCTTACACACAGAGCTGAGATATCAGTTTATTCCATATTTTCGTGAAGATAGGTGCTAGGTGGTAATTCCACAAAGCTAGCACAACACACTAAAGAATTTCAAGGTATTTATACACTTCAAACTACATGAATACACATTTACAGTCATAACCATTGGTTAGTTTATCACTTTGTTGCTATTTAAATTAGCCTCTCTTGCTATGTAAATTAGCACACAGGCTCCTGGGGGGGGGGGGGCGAAGTAATTTTGGTCTTTCAGTCAGTGGTCACGATCTCCCCCAATGCCACCTTTACCTTTCCCCCAGTAACAGATTTTCACTGACTTCATGCTTCTCAGAAAATCATCCAGCCTTTGGCAACTTCTGGGGCAGGGTGTTCCCCTCTTATCAGTCGTTTAGCTCCTCTTCAAAGGTATAGTCATCAGCAAAGCATGCACTGGGTATGCAAAGTTGGAGTAACTCACTCCCTTATCTCTTGGAATCCTTTTGACTTCAACGGTCTTAAATCAGTAACTGACTCTGTCATTGTTCTATTTACAAGTTCAGAATGAGCAGAGTAGAAAATTTCCTGGAGACATTCTGAGGGTACATCTACTGCAATGACTGGGGTCTGTATAGGTCTGATGAAATAAATAAATAATTGAAAACTGTCCTGGATTCTCATAGTATAGCTGAGAGAACATTGAATTGATGTTGGCTAATCATGTATGTATTTACGCTATTTATTGAGTGAATTCTACCTGTCAGGTGCCATTCTCCTACAGAACTTTAGCAAGAATACTTAGCATGTCACTATGAGTCTGTGGGTTTTTTTTAAGAGCATATATTAACATCTGCTATTAGTTTTACTTCTGGGGAAATTCCACTATACCAAATTCTCTCCTCACAGACAAGTTTTAGTTGAACTGGTTTCCTTCAATGCAGGTTTCCCCCTGTCCCAAAATTATTTCAGAAAAAAAAAAAAGCTTCTTTGTGTCTTAACTGTAAATAGCTAATGCTGTTTGTTAGTTGTGTGACCTTCCGATAACTTATGCATTTTAGCTATGTGGTTGAACATCCTTACAAGAAAGGGGAGTTTGAACAACCAGAAGATGTTTTCTAATCACACAGAAAATTCCACTTTGGTTTCTTTGCAAAAATTCTAAGTCATCCAAGGCTTGCTGTCAAAAAAAAAAAAAAAAAAGCAACAAACAAACCAAAACTCCTCATTGTTCTGCAGTGTAATGGGAACAGTTCACAGGAACTCCCATTAAATTTTTTTGACAGTGAATGCTGGTTGTGTCTAAAATGGGTTACTAGTTAAACCTCAGTGACTGCTAATGTGGTATGAAGTGTCTGCTCTAAGGCAACTTGTCCTGTGCTACAGAGGTGAAGGGCAGCAAAGGTGTAGTATATTGTTTGTAAATAATATTGGAAGAACTCTCTTGCAGGTTGCTCCAGTACACTTTTGCTGGTGACATATTTATGGTTCCTGATGATCCTTTGGGAAGAAATGGACCTAGATTAGATGACTTCCTTCAAAGTGAAGGCTGTTCTAGGTATAAGCACTGTTTTCACTATTGTTTGAGACAGTTACGATTTCACATTTGAAATAAATTGTTTTCCTGGTTCCCTTGAGCACCTTTAGTTATGTATACTAAAGGTACAGTAAAATTAAGAACACTGTAGGATGTAGTAGTTTAACAAAATCATGTTTTTCATGTTGCTTCATTCTGTTCAGAAACTGCTGGTCACCTTTGCATCTAGTCAAGATCTAAGATAAGTAACACAATAACTTCCTCTGAGATTTGATTGTGGTGGGCTTTTTTATACAGAGGTGGTCCAAACTGTTATCATCGCACAAAGCTGCAAGTGCTTTGGATGTGTGGCGGTCTGATATCCTGTTAATTACGGTGATGTTATTTAAAACACCTTGGTTGATCACTTATTCACAGTGGGACAATAGGTGGTACAAAAGAAACACTCTACAGTCATATTCTTAGTCACTGGAGAGGCATTTGACTTTGCACTTGAGGGTACTGTACTGTTAATAAAATTATTTTTTGAGAGGCATTATTAAATGAATTTGTATTTGATTCATAATTTTAAATATTAACATATATTGTTCCTTTAAGATTATTGTACTTTTAAAATGTGCATATGTTCAAAGTATGAATTCGCTTTGCATTAACTGCCAAGATTTGAGAATGGGTTTGCTCTTTTGCACAAGAAAATAAGCTGCTCTTTGTTCTTCTTTTACCAGTTTAGGAATTATAAGTGATGATAGTGAGGAGTATTGAGAGAGCCTTTAGAAACAAGTGAAGTAATTAAAAATCAGCAATAAAAAAGGCAAGCTATAATTAAGGATTAATACAAAGAATAAGCAAGAATCTCAGCTATTGGAAACAATTAAGGAAAGTGAGATGTATGTTCCAGTAGGTCACAGGTTGATTTAAAAATAAGCATATAATATTGACAAGAAAAAAGCAAGTGCAGTTCTAGAACTCCAGTAGGAACGGTAAGAAAGTATTCTAGTTCTAACACAGAACCCTTTGAGATGTAATTTAAAACACTGTTTTAGCCACCTGTGTCAGAGAAGAATAAAGTGAAAACAGAGTGTGTTCTGAGGTGGCTATGATTATTATAGAAATGGAAGAGGGCTCTAGAAGAGCTTGATTTCCTATTTGCAAACTTGCAATTGGGACTAGGCTTTGGTTTTTGGGTGGGAGGCAGGGTTTAAGAAAGAGAAAAGGTGCCAGTGTAAAGAGTTAATTGTGTTCCTTCCTTGAGACTTTTCTACTTGAGTTAAATGATGCAGAAAGCATAAATGGCACCACGAACAAGATCAGAAACTACAAGGTTCTTGAACAATTACAGAGACTTTCCGTGTTGAGTAATGGGAGGTGTTGTAACCTAAATGGTTTTAAAATAGAGCTCTGTAATTTAGATACTGTTTCTCTTGGTGGTAGGAAACTAGACTGTAACATGAGTTCCAATTCACATGTTTGTGTTACCTGGTGGCATCTGAAGTAGACTTGGACCTAAATTTTGTAGTGCTAGCTGTTTTAGAGTAGCAACAATTTTTCAAAGTCTGAAATGAAATCTCAGTAATTAAGGAAGAATATTCAGATCCTGAAATTGCTGAAAAACTTCATTCCCCCATTAAGGATATCATATAAGGCCTTGATCTAACAGTGAGCACAGGTCACAGTCATGAGCAAAATTAGATGAGGAATAGTCTTGTGGAGCATCTGGAAGCCCCTTTGGTCTGTCAGTATTTTCACATGTTTTGAGTCAGTGTACATGTGTTCAATGTATCTTTTTATCCATTTAGCTCAGTAATACTGCTGTTGATACTTCCATAAAATAACTTTTGACCCTTGCTGTATTCTGTCAAGTAAAGTATTCACAGCATATTGGAACTAGTCCTACATAATGTTAGTAAATGTTGTTAGTCATGCCAGCTTCAAATTGAGAACTGTTACACCTACTGTTTTGTTCACTTTGGAAAAAATGCTTGTCATTTGATTCCAATCAGTAACTAGCTGAGCAGCAGTGAAGTATAGGAGTTATATGCATTTTTCATTTTGTGTTTGTACAGAGGCAGTTAGCATCTCCTTCACCCGAATTTAATCAGATTTTATTTCATTGTTTCATAGAGATTTTTGGTCAGCACAAAAGGCTTTACAGAGCAGTGGAAAATATTCTTCTGAGACACCTTTCTTCATACCAGTCCCCAAAGCAACCAGTAGCAGTCGACAGCCTAAAAACAAAGTACATGGTGATCGCTCATCAGCGTGGCTTCCGCTGGAAACAAACGTACCGGCTTGTCTCGCAATTCCACCACAGAGATCTGCCTCAGAAACAATACAGCTAAGAGAAGCCCTGATAAAAATTTTTCCTGATTATGAGCAAAGACAGAAGATTGATCAAATACTAGCTGATCATCCATTCATGAGAGATCTTAATGCACTGTCTGCCATGGTGCTTGACTGAATATTATATAGGGATTTTATATCACAACTGATCTAACTTTGAATATCAATGTGAAGAAAAATGTTCTGTCATGTTACTTTGTGAATATTCAAAATGTAATTTTATTTGTATAAACGAAGATATTTTTTGTGTATGTTCTGTTGCTAATAGATGCCAGTTTTTGGTAAATTAAAAACTGCTGCTACTACAGATTTGTAGTAATATTTTCTATGAAAAAAACAAATCTTCTGCTTCACTTGAATTGCTTATTAAAGCAGTAGCAGTTCTAGAGAACTGTTATTCAGAGGCTTAAAAGTGACTCTTACAGCTTCTTATATATTTTCCAGATACACATGCATACTATAACATAAACCATGCACCTGTCAGATATAATTGTTGGTGTTTGTATCTAGGGTATAGTCATTCTTAGAAAACCTACGCTCTACTAGTACCTCCTTCACATATGAACTTTAAAATATTTCTCCATGGAAATAAATCAGACCCTTTTAATATTTTCAGGTGTGAATACTTCTACATAGTGTGTATGTGAACCTGCTTTTATTAAGCCTGCATTGTGGATTTTGGAAATAGGGTATACTCCAAAGGGTCTACAGACAGCAATTTGAAGATCACTGTATGGGAGCAGTGAATATTCGGTGTATTGTTGAAGTAGTGTCACAAGGTGGCGTTATGCATCTGTTGATTTGTAATGATCAATAGGAAAGTTTCTAAAATTCTGAAGCGTTGGTTCTTATATAAAGAAAGATTAAATGCAAGACAGATAACAGTAACTGTAAGAGTGTTATGGATAAAATTTGACATTATATGAATAATTTACAGCTACTAAGTAGCTTTCTGATATTACAGGTAGCTAAGAAGCTTTGTATATATGGGTAAAATCTTAGTGCCCATGGAATGAAAACCAAGAAAATACATTTGCCTGTTCATCCAGGTTGAGAGATAGTATGCTACTGTAGTTAAAAGAAGGACGATTTCAATTAGAAAGTAGAAATTCACAACTCTCTTCAATAGAAGGTATTTGTAATGCTTTGAAAGACCTGTGTTACCTACATTGCTTTTAAAGTTGGAAATTCTTTTGACCATCAATACAGCATATTTAGTAATCTGCACTGTTACCTGTTTGTCTTTGCCCAGCCTGTTCTAAATCTGAATACTGTGATAAGCTGTTTACAGAATGTGATGCTGTTTGTATAGAAATGGCATGCTGCCTTGTGCAGAGCAAGTAAGCTGCTGTTAAGTCAGCTTCATCCCTTAAATTTGTTCGGAGATCTATCCCAAAAGTAAGGTGGAAGGAAAGGAACATGATTTATGAAAGCTGACCAATAGAACCACTTTCAAGAGCAGGAGCAAAGTGAAGAGTACTATCTCTCTCTGTACGTGCTTAAGTCTGTTACACCTTTCTTTTAACTGGTTTCAGCTGCTAAGTGTTTACATTAGTAAAATTAAATTAGACTGTAAAGAAAATGGGGTCTACAGAGCCCGTGTTAAACTTCTGATGTACTGAGCCTTACCCTAAAGCATAAGTATAGTGGCTCTCCCTCCAGTTCCCTGGGTTCTGAAATCACTCTTTGCTTAAATGCAAAAGAGCTGAAATATACTGAGGAAATTAGGGTGTCGAGTCTGTCTTCTTGCAATGGCCCTCTCAGATGTATTGTGAAGAAACAGAAGGCAAAGTCTTGCTCTTCCCTCAACGGGGGCAAACTGAAAGATGAGGGCAGCAAGAGCAAAAAAAAAAAGTATTAGGAACAGCTATTACAGCATCTCAAAATACAAGTGAAGATGAAGACTGGTTTTGAGTATGTGTCTATATCCAAACAGGCTAATTTTGATTATTGTTTTTCTGTATAAATGAGAGGAAAATTCATTAGTCAGGTGGTCAGAGTCATTCTGACCAGCACGTTTGCCAAGGAGCAGAGCTTACTTATTAAGTGCTATGTCATCACCAAGTTCTGTCCCTGTAAAACTTAGGCAGGTTCCCAAAGGCTGTTGTCACTGATTGGAGTTGGTACTGTTTTAATAAGTAGTAAAGGAATAAATTATGACCAGTGAAGGGCTTTTCTTTAACAGGGATATGATCCTAAGGAGGACAGTGGTGGTGAATTGGATAATTTGCCTTAGTTCTACATTGGAGTGAGATACAGGAACTCTGGGTCGACTTAATTCCTAATCAGCTCTTCTAGAGGCAATCAGGGGAATCAAGGAAATGAGCCAAGAGTAATACAAACTATTCCACGTCTCCTTTGCATATTACTATATTCAAAACTGAAACCAACTCTGCAGTTAGAAGTGCAGATAAAATAATAGTGTTTTCATTTGTTTGTCACAAGGAAGAAGATAAAAAATGGAGTATGACACTGCAGGGGCAGCAAAAGATAAGTACCATGTTGATTACTATCTAGTGTGGGAAGACATGGTGAAGTATGTAAACTCTTTACTAGCTAGCAGTGGGTTGGGGATCTATATTAATGCTAGTAAATGGTGATGTGCTGATGACCTAATGCTAAATGTGCAATTTGAAATGAATTAAAGAGGAATGTAACATCAGGTGTTGAGCAGAGTAGTAGCTGATTACTTTTGTATGACACAAAAAGCCTATCCGAGAATAGTAGCTATCTAAAACCTGTAATCTTACTACTTTTTTCCCAGATACAGGACACACTTGACAAATTAATTGATTTTGGCAGAAGCTTGTTGCTGGAGGTTAAGCTGTCACAGCATAAAAGTTCATGTAAAATACCAAGTGAGACCAAATGTTCTTTGTTTTCTATTTTTCTTTTTTTGGGTTCTGTTGGCCCTTCAACTTTGAGTTTTAACTACTACATCTCTGTTAAGGGGGAAGATGGCAAACATAACCAGTATGGTCTGAATTTTCCTTGAGGAAATAGGTGGAGCTGTTGCAATGTTATGCCATATATGGTGGAGGAGCACCCAGGGTGGCTTCTCAACTGCAGTAGGAACAAAACCTGTCTTTCAGTTTTGTTTTCGCTTGTTTTTAGTTCCCTATTAGTCTACTTACTGTAAATATGGCTGTTCATAAAATCCATAAACAGCCTTTTTCAGTGCACAACAGAACTAGTACTGCATGAAGAATAGCAACCAAGAAAGCTTTCTTGCACCCAACAGACCAAGTTTTTTATTTGGATTTTTTTTAATGGCAAAGAAAATATGCTATTTTATGCAACAAAGTTGGTCTGTGATTTTCCATTTTCAACTGTACAAAGTCCTCAGAGTGGAATGAGCAGAGGAAAAGGTAAAGTCCAAGTCTGAACATAGCCAGAATGTTCCTGATTCCTAGAATAAACTAATTTTCTGTGAAATGATATATTTTGCTAATACAGTTTTCAGTTTATTGATATTTCCACTGAAATGGGAAGATAAAGGAGTGTTTCTTTGATCTTGCATAGAGCTTCCATCTTGTCTAGGATAAGATATTAATAATTCCAGGTAGATACAACTACTTTTACCTGAACAGAACAGCCCTGTATTTACCTGTAATAGTAAAAAAGTGCCAAGACCCAACAATAACAAATAAAACACCCCAAATCCTCGATTATATGTTTAATCTCCTAGCTCCATCCTAAATCAATAAAATATCATAATCACCTGAGTGCATTCAAATAGTTGTCTGTGTAACAACTGATGTGTAGCTGTGGTTTAGTTCTGCTGTGATCCCTGTGTAGCAATCAGTGCAGTTCAGATACTCAAGGCATTCTGGATTAGTCAGTTTGGGACCAGCAGGATCCAGCTCTAAGCAATGATCTGAAAGCTCTCTACTCTGCTTCCTGCATTGCTCCAGATCCCAGACAGCTCACACTTCAGGTAAATTACTGGGTTCTGTGCCAGCAGAAGAAGCATACAGTGAGTGACATGGTTTTGCAAGCAAGTCCTGCACAGATGGTGAGCTTGAACTTGTCATTCCTGCTAGATGTGAGCTAAGACCATGAAGTGTCTTCATACTGTGTGTCCCAGTGTGTCCCATAATGTGGTATTTGGGCTTTGATTTTCTGCCAGTGTTAATGCCTTGTGTATTCCAGTCATCTTTCCCATCATCTTGGAAGACAGAGTTCGCTGAACCCAAGAGAAAAAGCATATGAGTTTAAAACTTAAAGATACTGTTCTATTTATTGCAAAATACTATTCCCTAATGCTAACTTGTATGAAGAAATAAAAACATGGAAGTTTCCAAAATACTGCGTTATCTGGGAAAGCTGTTCTTCATTGTAAAAAAGTTAAGATGAAAACCTTAGTATGAGTAGGTAAAAATCTCTGGGAACAGACTTTTACAGAACTGAACAAGTGTTTTCCACACAGGAGCATTACAGAGTTCCATTCATGAGTTTTCTGAGGACAAGAGAGTGACTATTAGCAGCAGGTAACCTGCTAAGTATATGGCAATTGCCCACATGTTCTTTTTGCATATGAAAAAATACTAATTCATTAATGATAAGCTAAGAACACAATTGTAAATCACCTTTTAAGACAGAGAATAACCATGCAGAAGATCAGTTTGTAGTGTGAATATTACTATAATTCCTATTCTTTTTAGAGATATATCTGATAAAACACTTAGATTTTAATGGGTGGAAAACATGGAAGAAAAGGGCTTTTACATGAGGAACTACAGAATTGCCAGAGTGTATTTGATGAGTATCTTTTTTCTTATCGACCAAAATGTTCCACACAGGTGGCCAGCATAATTATTTACATTTTTCAAACAGAGACAGAGGCACAAGAAAGAACCAACTTGCCTACAGCTGTTCAGTATGGCGGATGGAAGTGGTGACCAAGCTCCTTGGCAAATCCCTCCTCATCCCATCATGACATCTATCTTGCTTAAGGCAGGTGTCCAGGGTTGACATGAAGATTTTTCCCAGCTGGCTCCAGCATCATCCACCCTGCAACCCACAACAGTCCTGCTGCTGTGGAAAATGAGGCTTCTGAGGGCGTCCATCTTGTTTCCCCTCAGGTGAGCTGTGGCAGGGATGGAGGGAAAAGGGGCATGAGAAAACAAGAAGGCTCGGAGGGTGGCTGCTGACGGATATAGTGCTTAAGGGAAGGCTTTGTGAGCTTTTATGGCAGCTTGGGCAGCAGCTGTGCTGATTTTCTGTGCCTTGGCACAATTTTCTGCTGAAGTGGGTAGGTTGAGAGTGAATGAATGCAAGATACTGAGGGGAGAAAGGCTGGTGGGAAAGCAACAGGGGATGGCGGAGCACAAGTCGAATTCCTGCTGAGTGGCAAATGATGTAGTAACAGCAAAGCCCTCAAGCTGGGTACAGGGCAGCTCTCTAGTAAGTATGTTTAGGTGAGCTTAAATTTCACTGCTCTACCTACCCACACCACTAGGCTTGACAAAATATAGTAATGTCAGTATTAAACTGAGATGGCAAACTGCAGGGGGCCCACTGTGCTCAACCGACTATTTACAATGTGAAGGGTGTCAGAGAGGTCAAGACTGTACTTCTGGTTTTAAATAATTGCTAAAAGATGCAATCAAATACATTTCCTCTTAGTGCTATGATTTAATGGTGCAAATGCAGTAGCTATCTGTAGTAAAGGAGATGGGGTTCAGTCTTTTTACCTCAGTATATAGCAAGACTTCTGCTCATATGAATCAGTTTGCCACAAGTGATGGCAGAGATTTTGGGGGTTTGTTTTTCTTGTCCTGAATGATTGATCTACACCTAAAAAATGTTAAGTATTATGTTCTTATGCCAAAATAAATATTCATCCACGGACTTAATCAGAAATAGATAAATCACTTCAAAGTCACACAATTACTTAATCAAGTGAAGACAGAATCCCAGTGTGATTTTGGGGCTTTGTTTGTTCTCAGTATTAAAGGGAAATGGCATTTTCTCTTTGCACTTGGTCTGATATTAACTATAGGCTCACTTAAACTGCCTGGAGCCTGCATACATGTATGAACATGCTTCTTGAAGAACTTGTCTTCTTTCATTAATGTGTACCCTGGTTGTGTACATGTTCGTGTTTTTAGGTGCTGGTGTGAGAATATACGTATGTTGTAATCTTTATTTCTTTAGAGAAAGTATGTTCCTGAAGTATGTTTCATGCTATTCAACCTTTGGTTGCTGAAAAAACAGAACTAGAATCAGTGTTTTGAGTGGAAAATAACAGGGATCATCCCTTATGAGTGAGTGATGTAGCCAGCATTCCCCTCTCCCTTTAACATTTTATAGAATGCCTGTCTCCAGGATGAAGTCCTGAGACTTTGACTCTGATTCCTGGTGTGAGGATAAGTACAAGGTTTTTGTGAAAAATTCAATAGTTCATTATTCAAAGGAGTTTTTTTTCTCTAAATTTAAAGATAGGCATTATGTAATGCAAGTAACTTTATTCTGGGTGTAAACAAGCAAAACTACAAATGAGTCCTAGTATTCAGTGGTAGTGCTGCTGTTTTTCCTTTTTCTTTCAAAGCCATATTAGGGTAGTTTGTGTTTTGGAAGAGCATTTCTGAAGTGCCTTTTGCAACAGCAGAGAAAGCGCCTGAGAAAGTTCCATGAAAAACAGTGAATCATACAGCGTCTTTCTAATACTGACAGTGTTTTCTCCTGTTTCATAAGCTTGCAGGCTATGTTTAATATAAACGCCTTTCTTGCTGGAATTTTTTGTAGCTGTATCCAATGCTATTTTTAGATCTGGGCCCGATTTGTGTTTTGGATGGCTCTGTTTTATTGGGAAGCTTGTAGCTCTGCCATAATTCATGTATAGAACCTGTTATTTTCATAAATACAGTTTAAAATAATAATTATTTTTCAGATTGAAAGACTACCTAATCCACTGTGTGAAGCAGTATAGACTATGGTAGGGTATTCTGGTATTTGGTGGAGTCTGGTTACAAAACCAGTTGTGTCTCTGATCATGTTCAGTTTCTCTCTTGTCACAGAATGTAAATCCAAGGGCCTTACAGCAGTGCAACTAATTGTGTTCAAAGTATTTTTAGTGCCCCTGCTAATGTGTGGACTCAATTTTGTATATATATGTTGGCATGTAATTCTATGCGTACAGTGGTAATACTGTAAAGCTCAAGTAAAAGGGATAGACAACTGATGAATTTTAAACAAATGGAATTTAGATGTGTACATTTTTCACCTGTGTCTCCACTTGAGTACATTTTTAACTGTTTCAGGAATTATACTTTCAATGTACATAAGAGAACTAAAATATTACATATTTTTATTAAAAAGTAGAAACTATGGTCCAAAGACAACAGAGTTCTGAAATATACCAATTAAGTTGGTTTGTTTTTTTTTTATCATTTGTCACTAAATATAGGAATCATTGTGATTCAAATCCAAAGTAATATATGATTTTTCTCCCTGGATGTTGAACGAGCATACAATATTCGAAGTATTGAGTCTTAGTATTATTAATTTTAAGAGAGAACTTTGAGTAAAATACTAATCAGATGCTATTAGTAAAAAATAAAAGGCTGGCTTACATGTATTTTGGTAAAGAAACATATGCACAACACCCTTTTTAAAACAAATGTTAAAGATTAATCCAAACTGTGAGCATTTCAGTTCTTTAATTTTATATAATGATTTTGATGGTCACAAATCTGTTTAAAACAGTTTCTGGAAAGAAATACCAGTACTGACATTCTTGTAACAGTAGAGGGAAGCACTCATTAACTCTTCAGTTCTAATGTAAACAGTTGCATGCTTGGCCTCCAAAAAAAAAATGTGGCATGTTATGGGATGATGTATGGACGCTTGTACAGTTACCCTGTCTTAGCGCAGAAGTTCAGTTGTATGTCTTACTGTATCGTTTTAGACTCTTATTGGTATCCCTGATGCTGTATGTTAGGTTTCATTTGCTTCTTGGCTAAGGGACTGTACTTTTCTTCTGTTTGCTAATAGTTTAGGTTTGAGATGCAAATGAAATTGGTAGTAATATTGTTACCTTTGATATGAGTTCTTTTCATTCAAAACTGCAACAAGAAATCTGCTGCTTGGACAATTCTGACTGACAAAATTTGAGATATCAGTACATGAGAAATTTTAAAAAAAAGAAAATAAAAAGAAAATAAATTCAGATGCATTACATGCAAAATAAGAGAAGATAGTCCAGACACTCACATAACAGGACAAGAGCAGAGCTGGCTGTCTGCTTTTGCCAAAACCTGGGAAGCAGAATCCAAAAGCAGAGGTAGGAAGGGGTCAGTCCTTTCACTGAGACAGCGATGAATGAGCACACAGGATTAAATGATACTGAAGCTGGTCTGAATCTGACTCCTTTATGTGAGGAGCATTGTTGCACCTTGAATCCAGATGAACCCAAGTCAATTGTGTGTTTTGCAAAGACAGAAGAAAATTGGGAATATCTAAAAGGCAGAGCATGAAGGTCTGGCAATATCTCCTAAGAGGAGGAGGACATACACTGTGGTTTATAAATACTTTTCTGTGGGAGATCTTTGCAGCAGAGGGCCTTGAATTAAAAAGAGCACATCGGAGTCCTTCGCCAGATCTCCTACTGGCAGAACACCAAGAATATGGATAAGGACATTCTTGACATTCTGAAGTGAAGGGGCATTAAAATAGTAGTTGACATTCACTGGAAACAAATTAATGATTTCTGTTGCAT